TATGCTATTAGACATGACAAGATAGAAAAGCACGATTCAAAATCTGAATAGACCAGTGCGTGTCATGAATAGATTTCTGCAACATGTGTAAGAATCTTTACATATACATATTTGCCAGATGTCTAATGATTCGTTACCTTTAATCAACCCTGAGTTACAGTATCTACATCATTCCACGTAACATTTTTTGCAGACTTAATTTTCATTGTGACATTTCCCTTTGTATCATTCCTAAAAGACAGGCTTGAATATGCGCAACCTGTTTATAATTAAACCAAATTCTTAGTGCTTTTGACCGTTTTGTCACCAATCCATTCAATCCTTTACATTTGACCAAGTGTTCCGTTTTGTTATCATTTAAGTAGTGTTGACAGTTGTTTCTCCTGATCCTGTCTGCCGCCGCTATAGGCGCTGCGGGACGCTGCAAAGGAAGGAGATACAGACAGAGTGAAGCAGCTGTTAGCGGAGGGAGTCAACCCTAATGCTGCTAATAGCATGCCATTGGTTAGTGACCACGTTTCCCGTTGTCGGGTAATCTGTTGTGAATTGCTCTTCTTCTGCAACAAGAAAAAAAAGAATATTGATATTTCGTTCAAGTATGACGAAACAAGACAGATGCAATACTTTAAACTTCCCACTTTTGTGCCATTAAAAGCCCACAATAACACCGTAGTCAGTTTACGTTACGGTACACCGGTCTGATGTGCTTTACAGCGATTGAGTCCTCTGCACCTGGCAGCCTTTATTGGCCACCATGAAACTGTGGCCGTGTCTATACGGAACCACCCAAAGCGCGATTCGGGTAACTCACATTCCTCACATCTGGTCCACGTGCCACACACACCTGTGAAACCGTGTCCGAACACAATACGCTAGAGCTACATTTATTGCTGTTTGATGATAACACGCAAGGCGGCGTGTTATTAATGTCTGAGGTCAACGACCTGCTTGCTGATGCCCCCCTCCCAGCGTATCTCGGCCGAATGCCGACGTGGTCCCGCCAGAGGCGGTGAAGCTCGCCCTAGAACGGACACATTATTTGACCATTACTGCTCTTTAAGTTGCTGCCACGTAAAAGTTGGTATTGCATATAAAAAAAGAAATATCACTCCGTAATCCATGACCAGGCGAAGTCACATTGAAATCACACTGCGTTCAGACGCAAATCGCGATGCGGGGAAAGCGATTCGAAACCACCTCTAGAAGTGGCTTGGGATCGAGGCGCTTTCAATGTGATTTCGGAGCGTTCAGATGGAGCCACTTGAAACCGGCTTCGGGGTAAACCACATGTAAACCGCCTTGGGTGGTTCCGTATAGATACGCCCTATATCAGCTTTACTGACAGCTGGTGCAGATGTGAACGCACGAAACGATAAGGTAAGAAAATGAAGTTAGGTACATGGAGATGAGGTAAGGAGATGAACGTTGGAGATAACGTGTTTTACAACACTTGGTAACTGTCATTAGCAATGTCTGCAACATGATCAACCTTTTCTCCTGTTGTGATACTGATTTTCTTCCATTTGATGTGCTTTACAGCAATGGACTCCCCTGCACCTGGCAGCCAAGAATGGCCACCATGAAACTGTAACAGCTTTACTGACAGCTGATGCGGATGTGAATGCACGGGACGATGAGGTAAGGAGATGAACTGGAGATGACATGTTTTACAACACTTGGTAACCGTCGTTAGCAATGTCTGGAACATACCTTTCCTCCCTGTTGTCATACTGAAGACCCTCTGATGTGCTTTACAGGAATGGACTGCTCTGCACCTGGCCGCCCTTAAGGGCCACCATGAAACTGTAACAGCTTTACTGACAGCAGCCGCAGATGTGAACGCACGAAACGATAAGGTAAGGAGATGAAGTTAAGTACATGGTTTTATAATATCATACAGGACTTCTATCTTTTAGCGGAACACATTGTAACTGGTTCGCATGTATCTATGATCAGACTCTATAGACTATGTTATTAGAAAGAGTGAACGTACTTATATTTGTACTGTTGCTATAATGGACACTGTTTAATGTCCCTTACAGCAAATCACGCCCCTGTATCTGGCAGCCCAGAATGGCCACCATGAAACTGTAACAGCTTTACTGGCAGCTGGTGCAGATGTGAACGCACGAAACGATAAGGTAAGGAGATGAACTGTGAAGATGACGTGTTATACAACATTCGGTAACCGTCGTTAGCAATGTCTGGAACATACCTTTCCTCCCTGTTGTCATACTGAAGACCCTGTGATGTGCTTTACAGGAATGGACTGCTCTGCACCTGGCCGCCTTTAAGGGCCACCATGAAACTGTAACAGCTTTACTGACAGCTGGTGCGGAAGTGAACGCACGAAACGATAAGGTAAGGAGATGAACTGGAGATGACGTGTTTTACAAAACTTGGTAACTGCCGTTAGCAATGTCTGAAACTGTTAAGTACATGTACATTGTAATATCATATTAGACTTCTATCTTGTACCGGAACACTTTGTTGCTGGATCGCATGTTTCTGTATTATCATAATCAGACTCTATATATAGAGCATGTTATTAGAAAGAGTGAACGTACTTGAGTTTCTACTGTTACTTTATTGAACACTGTTTAATGTCCCTTACAACAAATCACGCCCATGTATCTGGCGGCCCAGAATGGCCATTATGAAACTTTATCAGCTTTACTGACAGCTGGTGCAGATGTGAACGCAGGGAAAGATACGGTAAGGAGATGGACTGTGTTATTCAGCACATGTTTTTGGAAGATTATTCAAGACTCGACATTTTGAAATCTTGAAGGGGTACATTTTGCAGCTGCTGTAAACAATGTCAGCACCATAAGTGATTTTTTTTTCCGTCCTGCTGTCACACTAAAGATCATCTAATGTGTTTTACAGCAAAGGACTCCTTTGCATCAGGCAGCCCAGAATGGCCACCATAAAACTGTATCAGCTTTACTAGTGACAGCTGGTGCAGATGTGAACCCACGGAACAATGAGGTAAAAGAGATGAGGTTAAGTACATGGTTTTGTTATATCATATAGGTTTTCTATATTGTAGCGAAACACTTCGTAGCTGGTTCGCATGTTTCTATCATTAGACTCTATAGACTATGTTATTCAAAAGAGTTACCGTACTTATATTTGTACTGTTGCTATATTGAACACCGTTTAATGTCCCTTACAGCAAATCACGCCCCTGCACCTGGCAGCCTATAATGGCCACCATGAAACTGTAACAGCTTTACTGACAGCTGGTGCGGAAGTGAACGCACGGAACGATAAGGTAAGGTGAACTGTGGAGATGGCGTGTTATAAAACATTCGGTAACCGTCATTAGCAATGTCTTAACCTAACTTTACTCCCTGTTGTCATACTGAAGACCGTCTAATGTGCTTTGCAGAAATGGACTGCTCTGCACGCGACAGCCGAGAATGGCCACCATGAAACTGCATCAGCTTTACTGACAGCTGGTGCAGATGTGAACGCACGGAACGACGAGGTAAGGAGATGAACCGTGGAGTTGGTGTGTTATACAACATTCGGTAACCGTCATTAGCAATGTCTGGAACATACCTTCCCTCCTCGTTGTCATACTAAAGACCCTCTGATGTGCTTTACAGCAATGGACTCCTCTGCACGTTGCAGCCCAGAATGGCCACCATGAAACTGCATCAGCTTTACTGACAGCTGGTGGAGAAGTGAACGCACGGGACGATAAGGTAAGGAGATGAACTGTGGAGATTGCGTGTTATGCAACATTCGGTAACCGTCGTTAGCAATGTCTGGAACATACCTTTTCTCCCCGTTGTCATACTGAAGACTCTGTGATGTGCTTTACAGCAATGGACTCCTCTGCACGTTGCAGCCCAGAACGGCCATCATGAAACTGTATCAGCTTTACGGACAGCTGGTGCGGAAGTGAACGCACGAAACGATAAGGTAAGGAGATGGACTGGAGATGACGTGTTTTACAAAACTTGGTAACTGCCGTTAGCAATGTCTGAAACTGCTAAGTACATGTACATTGTAATATCATATTAGACTTCTATCTTGTACCGGAACACTTTGTTGCTGGATCGCATGTTTCTGTATTATCATAGTCAGACTCTATATAGAGAGCATGTTATTAGAAAGAGTGAACGTACTTGAGTTTCTACTGTTACTATATTGAACACTGTTTAATGTCCCTTACAACAAATCACGCCCCTGTATCTGGCGGCCCAGAATGGCCATTATGAAACTGTATCAGCTTTACTGACAGCTGGTGCAGATGTGAACGCACGGAAAGATACGGTAAGGAGATCAACTGTGTTATTCAGCACATGTTTTTGTAAGATTATTCAAGACTCGACATCTTGAAAACTTGAAGGCTACATTTGGCAGCTGCTGTAAAAAATGTCAGCACCATAAGTGATTTTTTCCGTTCTGTTGTTATACTGAAGATCATCTAATGTGTTTTACAGCAAAGGACTCCTATGCATCAGGCAGCCCAGAATGGCCATCATGAAACTGTAACAGCTTTACTGACAGCTGGTGCAGATGTGAACGCACGGGACGATAAGGTAAGGAGATGAACTGTGGAGATGGCGTGTTATGTAACATTTGGTAACCGTCATTAACAATGTCTGCAACATAACTTTCCTCTCCGTTGTCATACTGAAGACCCCCTGATGTGCTTTACAAGAATGGGCTCCCCTGCACCTGGCTGCCTTTAAGGCCACAATGAAACTGTATCAGCTTTACTAAAAGCTGGTGCGGATGTGAACGCACGGAACGAAATGGTAAGAAGATGAGGTTAAGTACATGTGTTTGTAATATGATATGGGACTTCTATCTTGTAGCGGAACACTTTGTAACTGGTTCGCATGTTTCTATCATCAAACTCTATAGACTATGTTTTTAGAAAGAGTGAACGTACTTATATTTGTACTGTTGCTATAATGAACATTGTTTAATGTCCCTTACAGCAAGTCACGCCCCTGTGTCTGGCGGCCGAGAATGGCCATCATGAAACTGTATCAGCTTTACTGCCAGCTGGTGCGGATGTGAACGCACGGACCTATAAGGTAAGGAGATGAACTGGAGATGGCGTGTTTTACAAGACTTGGTAACTGCCGATAGCAATGTCTGCAACTGTTAAGTACATGTACATTGTAATATCCTATTAGACTTCTATCTTGTACCGGAACACTTTGTGGCTGGATCGCATGTTTCTGCATCATCATCATAATCAGACTCTATAGACCATGTTATTAGAAAGAGTGAACGTACTTATATTTGTACTGTTGCTATATTGAACACTGTTTAATGTCCCTTAGAGCAAATCACTCCCCTGTATCTGGCGGCCCAGAATGGCCATTATGAAACTGTAACAGCTTTACTGACAGCTGGTGCAGATATGAACGCACGGAAAGATACGGTAAAGAAAATAAACTGTTGTTATTTAGCACATGTTTTCGTAAGATTATTCAAGACTTGACATCTTGAAATCTTGAAGGAGAACATTTGGCAGCTGCTGTAAAAAATGTCAGCACCATAAGTGATTTTTTCCGTTCTGTTGTTATACTGAAGATCATCTAATGTGTTTTACAGCAAAGGACTCCTATGCATCAGGCAGCCCAGAATGGCCACCATGAAACTGTAACAGCTTTACTGACAGCTGGTGCAGATGTGAACGCACGGGACGATAAGGTAAGGAGATGAACTGTGGAGATGGCGTGTTATACAACATTCGGTAACCGTCATTAGCAATGTCTGGAACATACCTTTCATCCCCGTTGTCATACTGAAGACCCACTGATGTGTCTTACAGGAATGGTCTCCCCTGCACCTGGCCGCCTTTAAGGGCCACCATGAAACTGTAACGGCTTTACTGACAGCTGGTGCAGATGTGAACGCGCGGGACGATAAGGTAAGGAGATGAACTGTGGAGATGGCGTGTTATGTAACATTTGGTAACCGTCATTAGCAATGTCTGCAACATAACTTTCTTCCCAGTTGTCATACTGAAGAGCCTGTGATGTGCTTTACAGGAATGGACTGCTCTGCACCTGGCCGCCTTTAAGGGCCACCATAAAACTGTATCAGCTTTACTGACAGCTGATGCAGATGTGAACGCAAGGGGCGATAAGGTAAGGAGATGAAGTTAAGTACATGGTTTTGTAATATCATATATGTAATATTTGTATTGTATTAGAAAGAGTGAACGTACTTATATTTGTACTGTTGCTATATTGAACAATGTTTAATGCCCCTTACAGCAAATCACGCCCCTGCACATGGCAGCCCATAAGGGACATCATGAAACTGTATCAGCTTTACTGACAGCTGGTGCAGATGTGAACGCACAGGACGATGAGGTAAGGGGATGAACTGGGCATTCAGCACGTTTTTGTAATATCACAGAAGATTTGTATCCATCTCATAGCAACGCCATTGGTAGCACATTTGGTACAATTCTTCGTTCCGTTACCATAATAAAAACCCTCTCTTGTATTTTAACAGCAAAAAACTCCTTTGTGCCGGGCAGCTGAGAATGACCACCATGAAACTGTAACAGTTTTACTGACAGCTGGTGCAGAGGTGAACGCACAGGTATAGAGTGTAGACACATTTACTACTGTAGAAAAATATATGTATTATCAGGTTTATACTAAAATATATGTATTATCTAGCAATAACGTTATATTGGCTAGGGTGCTACCATCAGTACCAAAAATATGATCTCTGCCAGTGTTTCTTCGTACAGTAACTCATTTGATTTATGTTACAGAGAAACACTTTCCTGAATCTGGGAGAAACGAATGTGCACCATGAAACTGCATCGATTCTAGTGACAGTTGGTGCAGACTTAGCATTGGAGGGCAATCGGGTAGATGCATTGTGGTTTGTTTCTGTGCATTTGACAATGTTTCTTGTACGATTTGGCGGGAAGAAAGTTCTCTTTATTTATTTTGAGAGTTTATGTGAAGAAATTTTGTTTTTTTATATAATTTGCTAACGTAAACAATAGGCTGTAACATTAAAAGATCACTCCTGGCTTTGGTTTACAGTAACTGCAAGTAGTAGTTTATTCACTTTTATCTTACGTGCTTGATACATGTATATCAAATTGATGGTTTTATATACGATAATCTATCGGCATCACATCACTCGCTCTATGCTAATGTTAACAATAATGAAAACTTTCACTTGCTATATAGCCTACCTTTATTTGCGTGCATATTTTGTTTGGATTCTGTTATCTGTTCCTTTGATCGTCTTTTGTTTATGTATAACTTACTGAATCGGTGTCGTATAAGCCCACACAGGCTGGGCGCGGGATAGCGCACGACACGAAAATAAAGTATGATAATAATTATCATTCATTCATTCATGCTATTTTCAAACAGGAAAGCACCTCCCACAATGAAGAATCTGAAAGTGGCCAGCTTGAGCTGCCGCTACACGGACGGGAAGACACCGGGGCCGGTAACGAGGTATGGTGGATTTGTGGAGTTCTTTGGTTAGACAACATCAAATGCAAGTTTTGCAAATTGCAATAGCCTAAGTGCATTACGAAATGCACATTTGAAAAAATCTACTACTAAGTTAAATGCGTCCATCTTTTACATATAGCAGGGGCATGAAGATGCTGTTTTGGTGGTTAAAAGGAACTACAGATTAAGTTAACTATAAATTTCGGAGTTATGCATTTTAAAAGTAAAATAAAGTAATGCAACTTTTTCTACACAACACAACACGAAAAAACATATTGATCTACATTTTTATTGTATACAAACAACTCCAATACAGAGATGTATCAACGTTATGAGAAACACCAGTATCTTTATAAAACTGTTCGTAAGCGGAATGCATACAGAAATGCTTTTGTGTATGTTTCTTAACAGCATAATGAAATGTTGGAGGATGTGACTGCATACACAGATGATGCTAGCAGTGACTCTGATTCTCATAATGGAAACGGGAAAGAAGAATTCACTGATGTAAGTTGTGGTCAAAGGTATCGCTAAGGAATCCACATTTCACATTCTCGATATTTTCTATGTTTTCGAACACTGGACGTCTTAAAATGATTTTTTTTGGTGCCTTGCTATTAGTTGTGTATATGATCGAATAAAGATATATCTAAATCATATCCGTATAAACATATGTCGTCCTTTGTATAATTATTCTGCTTCATGCTCACTTGTTCTGCTTCATGGTCACTTAACTGTAAGAAACTACTACATATCAAGTACATGTATTTGCAGAGAGCATCGAGACTACAGAAGGAGTACGACCCTTATCTTGTCCTGTTTTATGAAGAAAAAGCTGCTGCATATAGCATCAGCACATTGTTATGGTCACTGTCAAAAACCACTAACATATTAGCATGTACGTACATGTATTTGCAGAAAGCATTGAGACCACAGAAGGAGTACGACCCCGTTCTTGTCCGGTTCTATGAGGAAAGAGGAATGACTGTTGCGAAGACGAACTGCCCAGTGATACAGGAAGCAGCGAAAGAGAGCGGAAAAACTGTAAACCAAGTCAAGGTACATGTATCAGCTGTCTCTGTCATGCTCTGCTTTCTTTAAATTCGCTGACAGAGAGAGCGCACATCTAAGGTCCTTAGGAGGAAATAACTTGCTGAACTAAAGCTTTAGATATAAAGTTACTATTGATATGATATGAAAACGGACAGTTCTACCAATGTCTCTGCGTGCTGCGCATGTATCTGATGCAAAAGTGAACTCCCCATTCCTGTGTTACTTCTCAATTCTTATCTTGAAAGTTCATCTGTGTTGATAGAAGTCATTAGGAAACAAGATTGAACTGTAATTGACAATACACAATTGGACTCACCCAAATATTTTATCTAACAACTCGTTCATTTTTCATTTTTTCTTCATTCCTTGACAAAGACTGGAGTTGTACAGTTGACAAGTTGATGAGTCAATTTTTTGTGTTCAATCTTGCTTCGTAATACTCTTCAGTTCTTATAGGTTCATATTGCACTCTGCCCAAAATTGTCTACAAGATTTTATTCAATCCCTTTTCCTGGCCAAAGATCCAAACAATAGTGATGTGGCAAGCTTGTAACATCATTACAGAACTTCATCGGTAACTACCGTAAGAGTAAAGGCGGCAGTAAGAAGAGACCGCCGCCAGACACGATGGAGAGGCAGAGGAGGATCACGGGATATCACGAGTTCCACAGGGAACAGCTACCAAGGAAAAGGGGTGAGTCGAAACAGTAGTCATAATTTGAATGTTTACTAATTTCGCCCCCAATAGCTTCATGTTTTCTAGATCTTGTTTTCTTTCCTTTTTATTCTATGTCTTCCTCTTGACTAACGAAAACGTTTTACTGTAGAACATAACTGAATGCGTTCAAAGATTATCACCCTAATTATGAGGTGGTTATAGCAACTGACAAGGCTTTATCACACCTTATCATATAGCCGGGTGACGTTGACCAATCAGAAGGCTCCATTCCACATTCTTTATGTCGCCGTAATGTCACAAATAGAGTCAAAATCGGGTATTTATTCATCCCAATCCATACATTAAACAAAATGAATAATCACCCGCATATGACCTCAGGTGACCCAATAGAACACGGCTCTACTTCTAAAAAATCCAAAAATAACTTGAGTTGTGTTCCGATTACCTCGGGTGACTCCAATAAGAACACATGTTCCCTGCCTGTGACCCAGATAGAAGGCCATAGAACATGAACCCCCCAGTGACCTCAGGTGACTCCAGATGGAACAAATATTCTATGTTCTATTCAGCATGTGCAAGAGGTAAATTGTACATTGTGTTCACTGCATCAGTTTGGATAGGCTATCGCGTAAGCTATATGATAATAGCGTTAATGTCCCGCCCTTTCTTGGTGAATATGGTGTGATAAAGCCTTGTCAGTTGCTATAACCACCTCATAAAGCCACCTCGTTCGCTGCGCTCACTTGGTGGCTTTATTCGGTGGATATAGCAACTGACAAGGCTTTATTACACCATATTCACCTCGGGGCGGGACATTAACCCTTAAATATTCACCGAGAAAGGGCGGGACATTAACACTATTATCATATAACTTACACGATAGTCTATCCAAACTGATGCAGTAAGTGATACAATGCACATGCTGAATAGAACATAGAACATAGTTCCCTCTGGAGTCACCTGAGGTCACTGGGTAGAGTTCACGTTCTATGTCTTCTATCTGGGTCACAGGCAGGGAACAGGTGTTCTTATGGGAGTCAGCCGAGGTCATTGGAACACAACTAAAGTTATTTTTGGATTTTTCAGAACTAGAGCCCTGTTCTGCGGGTGACTATTTGGGTTGTTTAATGTATGGATTGGGATGAATAAATACCCGATTTTGACTCTATTTGTGACATTACGGCGTCATAAGGAATGTGGAATGGAGCCTTCTGATTGGTCAACGTCACCTGGCTATATGATAATAGTATTCAATGCATCATTCATTTGATCTTCCATGAGACTGTAATTTACTCTGCAAATTATTGGTAGTATTTTTAAGCTGGAACTAACATTTTGTGTTTAAGCCTACTGCCATTCCTAACTAGTCGTCTTGCATTTTCCTTCAGCGAACCAAGGATTCTCCCTTGCCGGTGCCAATAAGGAAATCGGCGAGAGCTGGAAGAACCTGACTGACGAGGAAAAGGATAAATACAACAAAGCAGCAGAGAGGAGAAGGGGCAAAGAGACGGAAGTCAAGATTTCGTCAGAAGTGGCGAAAAAGCTGAAACAACTCGAAAAACTGGTGCGTTTCTATGTGTAAGATTGCGAACATGTTTCTGAACAGTTGAAGAATTGTTAAAGAGTAATCGAAGTAAATGAACGTACATCAATGACCATAGCTATATTCTAACAGATATCTGGTTCATTCATTTACTTGGAATCGATCGAATTTCCTTATTTGTATCAGAAACATCCAAGACAGGTCCAGAACGTATAAGTATTAGTAATTGACTCGATCCAGTAATCTTAGAATTTGCGGACATTTGTACCTTTTTTACATGTACATGTGCATGGAAAATTGAACACATTGTGTACAGAAAGATGCAGTTATCTAGATGTTTGGACGAGATAAGAATATCGCAAGTAACACACACATGTAACATATAGAATTCTATTATTGCTACTTTCAGTCCGAGGAGCTTGGCGAACTTGGTGTGGAGGCATTTATGGTTACTCTCTACAATGGAAGGATTCGAGCGTTCGGGTCCCAGAAGGATCTGGTAAAGGACGAGAAGTTCGGGGGCTACATCGAGAATCAGCTGAAAGCAGCAGAACATCAGCGGAAAGCAGCACAATGTGAGCCAGCCATTCCCTACATTGGTCATGAAACAATTCTGCTAACGTGGGAAAAATACACGTATATCTATCTTATATTTAAAAGTGTGATTATGTATGTATGTATGTATGTACGTATGTAAGTATGAATGTATGTATGTAATCTATCTATGATCTTACTTATTTAAACCACGTTTCAGCTATAACTTGTTGGGTCAGCGGACTGTCATTTGCAAAATATATGTCGTTGTAGAGGGGTCATTTGGTAGCTATAACTATCAAAATCATCCAACGACGCTGTACGAGGATGATTAGGATCTTTCCCCATTATGATATTTGCTAAAATTCAGCTCATTAAATACTGGCACCGTTTGATAAACTTACCTGAGGACTCTCTGCTTCATGATGCATACAAAACTGTATTTGCTGATGACCACGACTGGATTAATCATGTTAAAGATACTTTCAACTACCACGGCATTGGACATATATGGATGAAACCTGAAGCTTATAAAAAGGATTATATTACACACCATATTTGCCATTGGCTACAAGATACACATATACAAGAGTGGTCTAGTTGCATTAGAAATAATTCCAAGCTGTCTTTTCTTAGCAAATAAAAAACTGTTATGAACAAGAAACATACCTTTGTGATAAAGATAACTTTAAAATTCGTAAAGCCAAAACTTAATTAAGAATCAGTAGCCATAAATTGAATATTGAAACAGGTAGATATTTAAAATATAGCCCCTGGCCAAAGTTCTGTCCATTTTGTCCAAAGCAAATAGAAAATGAACTTCATTTTGTTATGGAATGTACCAAATATGATGTTATACGGAACAAGCTATAGCTATTTACATTTCTCGAATCAAGTACAGTAGATTTCAAGACTCTAGATTTTAGAGACAGATTTGAATATATCTTTACATGTAATGGTCCCCACAACGCAAAAATAGGTAGATATATAAAGGAATGCTTTATTATTAGAATAGAATTCCGAAACTTGTGATCAGTCCACTCGAATGTTACACTTTATCAAAGACTTGTGCTATCCCTTATTATCTAAATAATTATGATATAGATTTGTTAGGTTTATTCGACATTAGGTCTTGTTCAACACATTTTATTGTTTGTTACTCTCTTTATGTAGTTTGGCATACATTGTACCATGTGCATGAGATTGTCGTGCAATAAAGTTCTTCACTATCCTGATATACACATACACAATCTGTACAGGTTTAGCAACGGACAGAAGCCGAAGGAGTTCGGGCAGAGATGGCACCACTGGAACGACTGGAGAGGGCCATGACGTAACCGGGAGGTCCGGGAGCAGCACCAGTTCAGTAAGGAAGAGGAGAAAGAAGAACAAAGAGGCACAGCAGGACAACCAGCAACATCGTAGTTCTGCTGCCTCTTTACCGTCGTCATCTTCAACACAACAAGGTAAGCACTCCATTCATTACATCCAAAGTAAGAAATTGGCAGAAATTCTGTAGATCTATGGTATTCTTCATAGGAATTTTCCGACGCAGTTTCTATACCTCAATCATTAATAGTCTGCTATCTGCTAGATACGAATCTTGGCTAGTATATGTAGTTTTAGTTGTGCCCACTTATGTCATGGTGTAATTTGTAATTATCACAGCCCCAAACACAATTTATATGATACTTACATGAATTGAAGCAGTTGGACGTTTCTAATTTTGGTCCTTTTTTTAAATATCAATTTGGATAAATAAATAAATCAATTTGGATTTTACCATGATAAATATTGAATAAGGGAGGGCATACCTCATCTTGAACATAGACGTAAATGTAACTATGTATGTAAAAACAAGTATGAATTCCTTTTCCAGTTGAAGTCACTTGCAAAAACGTGTGTCTCTTTCTCTAGAGTCAGCAGTCACAACAGGACTGCTACCCAGAACAACAGACATACCACAAAACACAGGGACTCCTGTACATGTGGTATTACCAAACAGGGCAACGTCTACCCCTGCCCGCCCAAACACAGGGAATCTTGAACTTCTGGCACAGCAGTCAGCAACACTCACAGATCCACACAACTCTATTCCTGCATTACCACACAACACAGGGACTCCTGTACAGCTAGCACCACAAGCAACTCCAACAGAATCACAGACAGATTTTCGCTACTTGTACAGATCCAACATACCTCTTGAACGTCTGGTACCGCAAACAACTCAAACAGCATTTGCTGTTCGTCAAGTGCCGACAGGTGTGGACAATTTTAATTCCTATGGACTTCCCGACAGAACAGCATCACTGAACCTACCTGCTGCCCTGCCAACATTTCAAATGCAAGGTTGGTACCTGTAGTTGGTTTGGAACATCCATACCTTTGTCAGAAGCTTTTTGACAGACTTTTCCAATATTGTCTTTGTCTCTGCCGTCCTACAACAATTCTGTATATTACCCCATATGGCTCTACATACACTGATTGTTGGCACATATATAATACAACACTGGGTATTCCGTATCGCCCGAGGTACCAGCCCGACCGTGCGTCGGATCGCCCGACGGCCGAAGGCCGGAGGGAGATCCGATCCGCGGGAGGGCTGGGACCGAGGGTGATGCGGAATACACCGTGTATTTTATTTATGTCATACCCACCTAAGAAAACACGCCTTTCAATGCAAAATGAGCAGAAAGTTGGTGTCTCTAAACCCAAAAAGTGCAACAACATCAATTCCAACGTCAGAATTTTGCATTCGAATTTTCGAAAGCGTTGCACGCGGTTAGGGCGAAACGCGTTCGAATCGTTCTGTGGAACATTTGGAAGGGCTGGGCCGTACGCGTTAAGAACCCCCGGGCCGTACCGCTAGTTATCACACGGGCCGGAACACCCGTATCGAACGTAATCGAGGCCCAGGTAGGACATAATGGCTGGTACATTTGATATTTACCTTGCCAACCTATTGTTTCACATTCAGCGACACCAGTCTTCGGTATTACCTTTTTTTACCATTTTCAACTCAGACGAGATTGAGATTGGATCAATGGATGGATGGATCAACGGTTCCACCCTTCAACGGCCATGCAGACATGCTAAGTCACCGCATGTCGCCAGATGTCGTTGTTGCGACGGCCATGCAGACATGCTGAGTTGCCGCATGTCGCTAGATGTCGTTGTTGCGAGTGCACTTTTTACCATTTATGCCTTGCCCTTGGACGTTTGTATACTTTCCATTATGGTTGCTAATTTCAAAATCATAGTTCTATTAATGTTGCATAACAAAGCTGCTGACAAAACAAACTTAATTTGTCTTGAACAATAACTTGATTTTATTATTTGCCAAAAATGTTGATAAAGACATGTCTATAATCAAGGATTCACAGTAATCAAGGATTTTAATAAACTGCATAAATTATGTCAATGAGCATTAGCAGTGTGGATTAGTCTAGATGTTCAGATTTCCATTAGCCGGCAGTCCAGAGGGTCACACGTCCGACCAATCAAGGCGCTGCAGGCAAAGCTTATTAAAAGCCTCCTTTTCAGGCGTTCCCGGATCGGTGTTTGTGTGTGTGTGTGTGTGTTGGGGGGGGGGGTGTATTTTCTGACCAAACGTAGATCGCACGCAATAGAAGCTCCGGCCTACATAGCTGTCCGTGGAACTATTGATATTACCTGGGTGCCTAACTTTCACCAACATATCTTTTGTATTTTAGGAAATTAATTAATTAATGAGTGAGTGAGTGTTTAATTAACTTAAATAGGTATTGCATTGTTTGGCAAGGTATTTTCCATTGACAATTTTTAATAGATCAGGTTGATCAAATGATATAATGTAAACAATTATATATGATTAGTAAAAGATGACTTTTGAAGTTCTCTTCGAGTATTATTTTAGGGTTGAATCAGGGTCAACGCGAAAAAAAATCATGATCCGGTGATCGACATCATGCCCCCCCGCACACTTCATGTATTCAGTGTTCTAAATACCCGTCTTCAGTCTGCAATTTGCAGATAGATTTTCAAGATTTCAGGATAAAAATTACACAATCTGCAATTTGAAGAATAGAATGAAAAAACTATGGTCCTCACAACTTCATATTCCCTTTGTTTGACCCGCCCGGCGCCCAAATCCCGCTGCGATTCAAGCCGCGGCGGCTTCCCGAGCCATGCAAATAAACCTAGTCCTGACGCCACAGCCTCCGATTTCCACCGAGCCAGCCCCGAGCGCATGCCGACAGCGAGGGGATGTGGCTCAGATTTCCGACGATTTCCTTATTTAGATCATTCGGAAGACTTCGGGTGAGCAAACAAAATGGCCGCCATGCACATGATTTTATACTAGTAGCTTCGCTTCTCAACCGAAATGAGGAAGTTTAACCTCATTTGCAGACTTTAGCGGCCATGGAGTTGATTTGGGGAAGTGCTGAGACGCGATTTCGCTACGGCATATGGGATTTTGCCGCGGAGGGAGTTACGTACGCCGGCAAAAACTTGCTTCAGCGATCGGCTCCAGAAAATTTATCTTTATGCTGCCGCTCAAGTCTTCGAAGGTGGTTTAACGAAGTTTATATAAATAATAAAGCCACTTTGCGTAGATCGATCTCCGTTTTCTTGCAATGGTATGAAAATTCAAGTACAGTATATTTTCAAAACGTTTGATATTTCTTTGTTCGTTGCCACATGTTGTTTATTTATCTTATTGTCATGTACAGTTACCAGCGTGAGTCTGAGTCGAGCCATTGTTCTTATGTGGCCGTTAGCACATGTTGTTTAAACAGACAGCAACATTGAAGAAAAGAACCGAGTTAACAGACATCGGCACGTTCCTTGAAGTCAGGTTTCCCGCCGTATTTAAATAAGAAATGTGTGGGCCCGCAGCGTTTTGAAAAGACGCGACGCGCTTTGGAAAGACCCCGCGCCGTGGCTCATTCAAATTCGCTACATTTTTTGCTAAGTTTAATGTCTTCACCCACGATTTTTGACCGTCAATGTTGACGGTAAGGACTTAAATTTTTACCGTCCGACGGGAAAAAATACCGTCAATTGACGGTAAAACGGGCGCTGGCTAAAGCCCTGGTTGAATGTCACGAGGTTTGTAAACTTAGATGTTGGGGACAAAGCCATAGAAGAGATTTTGAATAAAATTATATATATATATATTAACGTTACTTATAATTTAAGTTAAAATGTACTTTTGTGTCTCATTTTTTTATTCTGTTAAAAAGACTCTTAAAAGAGAGAAAACAGGTTATAAACTGTTACTTGATTTTTGTAATGTTTTAAACTTAAAGAGTTGAAATATAGAAGTGCATGTTCTCTCATTATATACAATGTTGATGAGAACTAGAACCATTTATATAACTTAGGTAAATTGAAATGATAGGATGGGGAAAATGTTCGTAAAAACTGTAAGCCTGTAAGCGGCGAAAATGGTCAGCTTTTGCAGAAGCACTTGTTATTCCAACATGTAATCACCAGACGTGGTGACGACACACTCAAGTTTTTTTCAACTTATATTAATGCCGCCACCAACACAGGGGACAAATACATGACAGGACAATACTAATTTTCACCTTAGCTAAGTGAGGAAAGTTGTGTAAAGTGCCTTTCCCAAGGGCACAAGATCGGTGGCATGACTCTTAGTTCCGAGCCGCTACGCCACACGACCCCTCTTCGGTATTAGGACCTATTTCATTCAATATTTGAAGTTAAAGTGAACAAGCATTGGTCAATGAAACTTTTAACTCAGTCCTTGGGATGTTCGTTAATCAACAAATTTATTCCCTGTTAGGAACACCAGTCGTGACAACAGGAGGACTCCCCCACACGGCACCACAGACCCCCACAGCAGCCAGCTTAGGGACTTCTGTACCATCCCAGGTGACTCCAACGGTTCGTCAGGCACCTACAGGGGTCAGGACCACAAACGAACAGTTTCCCCACAGTCCGTTAGTATTTGCAGTGCCCCATCATCGCTAGATACAAGCAGATATCTCAATACATGTACAGGCCATTATGGAAGTTGTTGTTCAGTAAACATGTTGTAATATGCTCTATCACATAAATTGCATATACATAACAATGTATCCAAAAGCATGGATCAAAATGTGTATCTAGATAAGGCCTTATGAGAGTAAGACGACAGCATTCAGGTGCAGTACACCGGTACCTGACCCCTTTGTTTACTACCTGTGTGACCTCGGGCACCTGCCTCTGACGTCACTGGTCGCTAGGATACCAGGTCAGGGTGGGGCACGTCGTACGTGTCAGTAGAAAGTGAAAGAGTTTCTGTGGCATTTTGGGAATTTCCTGCGCCGAAAATGGGACATTTTGTACGCGCTAAACTATTGACACTGTGGTAGAAGTGGCGAAGAAGCCGACTGTTGGAACAGGGTACAGTGGAGAGGGTTTGATTTACTCTGTGGACCAGTTCTGTTCAACACCCTGCCTCGGAAGGGAACCATTCAAGCGGCCATGTTGGTATGGACAGAAGTACGATGGATATATTATATTGGTGAACATGAACGACATACCTATGGCTAAACAGACTATTTAGGACTTAAAGCTCAGTTTGGGAATGATAAGGATGCTTTATTTTCTGGATCTGCAGATTGCATAGAAAATAGGTGAGTAACCATAGTGTTACACGTATGTTTGTAATGTAATGTAAGTTATCCATGTAAAGTAACGTTAGTTGCTTCCAGTAAAGACAAAGTAGATTTGAAGGGATCTTTTGTTCTTTAGTGTTTTTGATTTGTAACGAGTAATCAACACCAGGAGTGTGAGGTTGCTTCATGACATGCAGGTTCTAACTTTTGTGAATGACCAAATGTTGATTCACAGTACTATTTTGATATTCTTTTCCTATTGTACAATACTTTGATCTGCAATAAACTAGATGGCTATACAATGCATTTTTGTACTCCCATATTTTTGATGATTTCATGGTAAATTTAGTTTAAAAGGAGACAGCTTTTCCTTTCTACTTGTAAGCAAAGTTAAGAAGTCTAATTAAGCATTTCTTCAGATACTGAAATCTGCAAATGCTGTTATGTGCCCCAAAATGACCTGACAGCATTTCAGTGCTATACTGCAATGACAGCCATACTCTTGAACGTAATACATATCTGTAAATCTTAATCATAGACATCAATGTCCTATTTTATGTCATTCTGGAACGTTGTAAACCACTATAAAGAATGCTACAACTATGATAGTAATACAATACAAGCAGCCTATTATTACACGTCATTGAAGAAAGCCAAGCAGGTGCAATGGCGCCGTACATGTTGTATTCTGTTCAGGTAAGTGATCACATAAACTCCAGTAAGACAAAGCAGCAGCAGTAGTTATTGTTGATTATATATTGTCGTTGTTGTTGCCCCTCCCCCCCCCCCGGTCCTCGTTGTGTGCCTATAATATCACGTTGTTCTGTCCGTGGTGACGTGATAGTTCTCTACAACACAGGCCACATAGATCTTCAGTCCTGGGTCATTGGTACCAGCCTGGTCATCACGTCTACCTGTCGCCACAGACTCTGAAGGGTTTAAGATAAAAACACGACTTAGTAGCAGTATTACTATTATCTAACGATGTGTGTGGAAAAAAATTTTTGGGAACAATGGGTCTTAAACTTGAATTACACTTCTTGAAATGGCTTCAAACCATGTGTGTAATGCTTTTAAATTCCATGCCATTAAACAGAAAAGTGCGAGAAATATTATACATTTAGCCTGTGTCAAAACAAGTGTGTACCTTTGTCACCTGTTACATGGTAGGTCCGGTTGACACAACCCCAATAGATTGTACGTCCACCATTACTGTGCTCAGATTCGTCCACTTGAGTAGGAGGGGGTTGAGATTCGTCCTCTGAAATAGAGTTCAGTGACATGTAATTGTTGGCTTATAACTTCGACATAAACATCGGTGTACGAGCAAGACAACAGGCATTGTTCATGGATGATATCCAAGCCTCCCTAGAATAAAATCTTACGTTTCCCACTGACTCACGTCAGTGGTACATGTACATGTAACTCTACCTGCTGCCTATTGTGGGGTACAAAGGTCAATATTTACGCAGTAAAGCATTCAGTACGGCTACAGGTTATTCTCGTACAACAGTCAGCCGCGGAAGCTATGGCTTGTACCAAGCTTGTCCTCAACTTTTCTCCCGTTCCGCTTATTACCTATCTTAGCTTTGGTCGTTTTTATATCAGAGTTACACGTTTTGATACACAGTAGTTTCACGTAGTTTGTTAAGGCACAAAATGCTGTGGCAATTACTTTTTTCTAACACGAATGAACAGTAAGCACTCAGTCATTCAGACTCAAATGAAACATGCCTTATTGAGTATTTATGTACAACAGACAGCCATGGAGGCAATGACTTGTACTTGGCGCGACCAAACTGATGTCAGGCTAGCTTTTTACCTGTTCTGTTTTAGTCATCGTTTTTTTTACCAGAGTTACACTTACACAGAGAGAGTAGCGTTATGGATTTTGTCAAATTCTACTTATTCCTAATACAAATGCTTAATACGACTTCGCTGACAACACTTAATGTCGATGGCCTCAAACTTCTAAAGTTATGATCATACTTACACGTTACTATGTTGCTAAAAATGTGAGACTATTTTAATCATCGAACGGTTACTGGCTGACTGACTGACTTAATCATAACATGCAATATTTTAAAATACTTCCGATATTATCAAGCTTGTTCTGAAAAAAAAAACCATGATACAGAAGCAATTCAGGTGGAATGTTATGTCACAAAGACTCTAGTTTACTAAGATCACCACAAGTAGAGATGGTCCTTACGACGAACGATGAAATTCTATCACTACTCCTAGGGTTAATTTTAACTGATGCTTTATAGTTCCTTGTGCATTGAAAACAAACTTACCTGTATTAGGTTTTTTGTTCAGCTTCTTGTAGTTTTTATACATGTCCCAGGCCTGTGTTCCGAGTCGAATGATTCGCATAAAAAAACTCATGCTCCCGGCACAGGCTAGCCCGAGTCTTAGCTTAATACCGTACCCGTTCCCGTCGATAATAAGTAGTAGTTGCACTGTGGCTAGTTTTGTGACGGAAAGTGATCGGTGTAATTTTTGTCAGGCGACAGAGTGTGTGCACAAGGTGGGCGAAGTTAGTAAAGTCTAACACGCAGGGGTACATGCAATCACATTGTTGTGGTTCCAGGCATTTGGAAATGGTTTTCAAATACAAATGTCATTAAAAATGTTGTAAAAAAAGTCGTAAAAATGAAATTGATAAACAAATCATAATATGTGCCACAGGATTAAGCATTTATATTCCTCAAACGTTTAGCCACCCTTCCCGAAGAAAGTGGTACGACCGTACGATGAGAATTAGAATAGGGGAAAGTCCCTTGAAGTACAAACCCAACCCTCCCAGCATGGCTGTTGTACATCATTCCTAGGCTCTAGCATAACTTTTGTACACAACTCTGCCGGCTCAAAACTGTAGCGCGGTGCGCGGTGATCATGTTTACACTCTTGCTAAGGAAGGTTTCACTGTCGTGCTTTGCGGTATGATAACATGATGTCATCACTGTTGTTTGCCCAATGTCAAGTGAGAGACGCGCAGGACGTGGTGTTGGTAGCCTGGTTGCCATCCCCAGTAGTATATTCGCCAGCTCTATAACAGTTATAGAGCTGGCGAATATACTACTGGGGACGGCACCCAGGCTATGATGTTGGGACTTGTCGTGTTAAATGGTGGTGGATAGAATGTGGATATAAATGGTTGACCTTGTCATCCTCTATTGCCTCATAGGTGGGTACAGACTCCAGGTACATGACAAGTATAAGAAAGATACTGGAAGGAAACATCAGGTTGTCTTTGACCAGTTATCATTCGGACAGGTGTCCTTTGAAAGATCTACAAGGAAATGGTTTGTTTTGAAATAGTACGTTGAACTTTGTTCCCCCTTTGCTGAGACTAATTTAGGACAAAAAACAGCAATATTCATCAGAATTCTGACTGTTCCAATAGGTCATGAGATTTTTATCGCACTTGAGAATCTTACATATTCGGACGAAACATATTGCCATCATTGAACCTAGTCGCAACAAGTAGGTGAGAGTCCAGCTTGTACAAAAGGAATCCTCCCAGTATTGATCGATGTTGTACAAAATGTCAGCCGGCTCATGACGTAGCTATTGTACACATCGAGCATTGTACGGAGTGGAGACACAGTACGCAGGTTATGTTTGCACACACACCGCCGGTGGCAAAGAACACCTTAACTTCATAGTACAAACACAACCCTCTCAGCGTGGATGTTGTACATGATTCCTAGTCTATAAACGTAACAAATCGTAACAAAACGCACACGACGAACTTGGTCCGGAAAGCAGACACAGTAATAAGGTTATTGGGAGTATAGCCGGTATAACCACTCTTCGGCGTAACACACCTGTCCAGCTTCTGTATCTGACTGTGTAGCCGGTATGACGACCCGTCAGCGTAACACACTACCTTCTGTATCTGTATAGCCGGTATAACCGCCCTTTGGCGTAACACCAGCTTCGCAGGCATGCGGCTTTAGTCATACGATGTGATTTGGTCTACTATTTCCATACAGGATCTATTATTTATCGTTGGCTCTCCGTTCTATTTACTTCAACGTTCATTATATAATATGTTAATTCTTTGTCATCATCCTTGTTATAAGTGTTGTTATGATTTTTGTTATTGTTTATTTTGTTTATTATTTATGTAATTCTTTTAAGTTTATTTTGGTGGGGGTATTGGAAAGGAGTATGTTCCTGTTACCCTCTCCCTTTACACATTTGTTGTAATAAAGTTGAAATAAATAAATAAATAAATAAATATATAAATAAAAAGATTGTGCGACAAACACAAAATGCTGAACGGTTCACAGCGCCGCGCTACAAACGTTAAGTCACAGGGTAAGTCCCTGCATGTACAAACCAAATCCTCCCAGCATGACTGTTGTACATCATTCCTAGGCTCTAAACGTATCTCTTGTACACAACTCCGCAGGTGTGAGATGTTCAAAGGAAGGGTTCACCGTTTAGCCAAGCAGTATGATAGCATGATGTTCATCACTGTTGTTTGCCCAATGTCGGGTAAGAGATCGCCCACGTGCATAGCGTGGTGTTTCGGGGTACTGATGTCAACTCTACCTGCCTGGTAAATATAAACAACTATAAATCCTCTTTAACTTGCCATCCTCTATTTTATGTTCAAGTTTATTTATTTTACCAGGGCATACCTCAGATCCGTTGATCTGATTTTCAGGTATCCCTGGGCACACATAAAAAATTACATTGAAATTACACATGCTGAACACAACAATATACAAACTAGAAAGGCCAATATTTGCTTTGGAGCAAATACAGCGATGGGTTCACCACATTTTACGACATGGCAGGGAAAGAATGAGAAACACAAGGGAAAACAATGATTTACAATTTGATATAACTATTATGAAGTAAAATACAACTAAAACAACAGTTGGATAGCTATTTCCTACTTTATTGGTTAGGATTTTTAATTGCATAATGCAAACTGTTGATTTTCAAAATAAAAAAAAAACGTCCATGCCCAGCATTCCAATGCTGGAGCAGGAAAGCTTGAAATACCTACCAAAACACTTGAATACAGACATACTGTCAGTATGGAAATGCTTCTGTGCAGGTGTTAATCAAGTTAAATCCCAACAGCCAATCAGCAAGAAGTATAGAGGAAAGCTGCATGCCTATTGGTTGATGCCCTGCATTCCATTGTGATGACTCATGCCCAAACGTGGTAAACAAGGCACACTAAGACAGTAATACATTTGCTATAACACAGCCAAAAAACTCAAATAAAACCATTCTAAAAGCCTGTATCACAATAATTTAAAAAACGCCTAGGGGT